TTTGATCGATTTCCTCCAAGATGGCCCCAAGAAGCGCCCAGGAGGCACCACGAGGCCCCAAGATGGCCCCAAGAGGCCCCCAGGAGGCCCCCAAGAGGCCTCCAAGAGGCCCCCAAAATGCCCCCAAGAGGCCCCCAAGAGGCCCCAAGAGGCTCCCCCGAGGCACCCAAGACGCTCCTGGAAGCCCCTGGGGCCGCCAAGAGGCCCCCAAGACGCCCCAAACTGCCTCCAAGAGGCTCCCAAGAGGCCCGAGGGGGCTCCCCCAAGGCACCCAAGACGCTCCTAGAAGCCCCTGGGGCCGCCAAGAGGCCCCCAAGACGCCCCAAAAGGGGACGGGGTGCCCGAACGCCTCACGCCACGAGGAGCCCGAACGACTCACACCAGGACGAGGGGCCCGAACGACTCACACCACGAAGAGCCCGAACGACTCACCCCAGAAGGAGGGGCCCGAACGACTCACACCAGGACGAGGCGCCCGAACGACTCACACCACGAGGAGCCCGAACGACTCACACCACGACGAGGGCCCCGAACGACTCACACCACGAGGAGCCCGAACGAGTCACACCCGGAGAAGGGGCCCGAACGACTCACACCAGGACGAGGGGCCCGAACAACTCACACCACGAGAAGCCCGAACGACTCACACCAGGACGAAGAGCCCGAACGACTCACACCACGAAGAGCCCGAACGACTCACCAGGAAGAAGGGCCCGAACGACTCACACCAGGACGAGAAACCCCAAACGACTCAAACCACGAGGAGCGCTTTCTCTCCCTCCTCCTCCGCCTCGTCCTTCTCCCGCTCCCACAACAAGGAGGATGTACAAGGAGGCGGGAGGAAGGAGGAACAGGGGATATATGCGGGGGCAGGCGGAAACACGCCTGAAAAACACGACTGTCGGCATGCTTCGCAAGAGTTGCTGTTTCGAGATGGGCTGGTGGGGATACGCGAAGCGTAAAGAATTCTACGACTACCACCACCGACTACTACTACTACGACGACGACTACTACTACTACGACTACTACTACTACTACTACTACTACTACTACTACGACTACTGCTACTACTACTACTCCTACTACTACGAATACTACGATTACTGCGACTACATCTACTACTACTACTACTACTACTACTACTGCTGCTGCTGCTGCTGCTACTACTACTACTACTACTACCGCTACTACTACTGATACTACTACTACTACTACTACTACTACTACTACTACTACTACTACTACTACTACTACTACTAATAATAATAATAACTAATTTCTACTACTACTACTACCACAACCTACTACTACTACTACTATACTACTAGCTACGACTACTACTACTACTACTACTTACTACTACTACTACTACCCACTACTACACTACTACCTACTACTACTACTACTACTATTGCACTACTACTACTCCTACTACTACACTACTACTAACTACTACTACTACATCCTACTACTCTACTAACTCTACTACTACTACTACTACTACTACTACTACTGCTCCTACACTACTGACTACTGCTACTACTCCTACTACTACTACTCCTGCTACTACTACTACTATTATTACTACTACTACAACAACGTACTATCTACTACTACGACTGACTACTACTACTGACCATCCTCCTCCTACTACACCTACCCACTCTACTACTACTACTACTCTGATACTACTACACCTACTACTACACTAGTTCTACTCTCTACTACTACGACTACGGCTATCTACTACTACTACTACTACTAACTAAACTACTACTACTACTAGCTATTACCACTACTAACTACTAATACCACTACTACTACTACTACGACTACTACTACTTACAACGACTACTACTACTGACTACTACTACGACTACCACTACTACTAAACTACTACTACTACTACCTACTACTACTACGACTACGACTACTACTACTACTACTACTACTACTACTACTACTACTACTACTACGACTACTACTACTACTACTACTACTACTACTACTACTTACTACTACTACTACTACTGACTACTACTCACTACTACTACTACTACTACTTCTACTGCTTAATACATACTACGCCTACTTACTACTACTTCCACCACTACACTACTACGGATGCTACTACCTACTACTACTACTACCACTACCACTACTACGGATGCTACTACTACTACTACTACTACTACTACTACTACTTCTACTATTACGACTACTACTAGTACTGCTACTACTACTACTACGACTACTACTACCACTGCTACTACTACTACTGCTACTACTACTACTACTACTACGACCGTTGCTGCTCCTACTACTACTACGACGACTACTACTACTACTACTACTACTACTACTACTACTACTACTACTACTACTTTTACTACTACTACGACTACCACTACTACTACTACTTCTACTACTACTACTACTACTACTACTACTACTACGACTACTACTACTACTACTACTACTACTACTCCTACTACGATGACATCTATGATTACTGCTACTACTTCTACTGCTACTACTACCACTACTACTACCACTACTACTAACATGACGACTACTACTACTACTACTACTACTACTACTACTACTTCGGGGGTACTAAAGTTTTTGACCATAAGATGAGAATTGCCTCGCTGGTCACGCGTGCCGCGGAGGACCGATGAGGATGCAAAGGTGCCTTGATGCGGATTCGCGGGCCTTTTGTGGGCCCTCTGGGACGGCCAACCAGAGAAACGAGAGCGACCGCATTGCAGAAGGATGCCCAGGGTCTCACGGCATCAATGCAACAAGGAATACAATGAAACATCGCGTTGGCATGATAAGGACAGGGTCGATGGGGATGATGACACGGAGGATGAAACGTGACCCAAGCGGAGTGGTTTACTGTGAATGGGTTCAAGTCGGAGTGTTTTCCGGCCCTATTTTAAATGAGACGGAGTAATTATCACCCTGTTTTGAATCGGACAGGGTGAGAGCCCATCGGAGTCGAACCGCCGCCCGACCCAAAACATGTCGCTAAGATTCTACGGGGGGGCAGGGGGCGTCGACAGCATGACGTCTTATGGTCAAAACTATAGTACCCCCCGTGTACTACTACTACTACTACTACTACTACTACTACTACTACTACTACTACTACTACTACTACGACTACTACTACTACTACTACTACTACTACTACTACTACTACTACTACTACTACTACTACTACGACTACTACTACTACTTACTACTACTACTACTACTACTACTACTACTACTACTACTACTACTACTACTACTACTACTACTACTACTACTACTACTACTACTACTACTACTACTACTACTACTACTACGACTACTACTACGACTACTACTACTACTACTACTACTACTACTACTACTACTACTACTACGACTACTACTACTACTACTACTACTACTACTACTACTACTACTACTACGACTACTACTACGACGGCTACTACTAATACTTCAATTACTACTACTACTACTACTACTACTACTACTACTACTACTACTACTACTACTACTACTACTGCTACTACTACTACTACTATACTACTACTACTACTACTACTACTACTACTACTACTACTACTACTACTACTACTACTACTACTACTACTACTACTACTACTACTACTACTACTACTACTACTACTACTACTACTACTACTACTACTACTACTACTACTACTACTACTACTACTACTACTACTACTACTACTACTACTACTACTACTACTACTACTACTACTACTACTACTACTACTACTACTACTACTACTACTACTACTACTACTACTACTACTACTTCTACTTCTACTACTACTACTACTACGACTACTACTACTACAATTACTGCTACCACCACTACTCCTATTATTACTACTTGTGCTATCCGCAATCGCGCGCGTTCCGCTGGTTTCTGGGGAGGAAGATCGAGGGGGCGGGGAGCATCGAAGGGAAGCAGGGGGAGGACGACAGAGCCGAAGCGACAAAAACGTCCGAAACTTTTGATCCTGGAACAAGGTGGCGGCAGGAAGAAGGCACAACCAGAGCGAGATGCGCTTAAAATCTCTGACAGCCGGCGGGTTTGCAGGATGTCTCGGGGGCGGCGGACGTTCCAGAACGCTCCATACAGTAGAGGCCTCCCAGATGGAGTCGGAGTAGCGGGTCGGAGGATCGCGCCGCATCGCCCATACATCGGCGATACATCGCCGATGCATCGGCGACGTCGACGATGCATCGGCGACGCCAGCGTGGAGGAGATCGGGCTCCACATCCAGCCGCATCGCCGATGCATCGACGATACGGCGTGGTCCTCCGTCACCATCTACTCGGACCCCATCTAGGAGGCCTATAGAATGAGGCGCTCACGAACGACTTACCCACGCGTAGGCCTATAGAATGAGGTCCCTGGCTGACCACACCCTCGATCCGCAGAAAATACCTGGTGACCCCAGGATCCCGGCGTGCGCGCACCGTGGCCAAGAGCGACGTCGAAGAGAACAACGACGACGACGACGACGACGACGCCGCCGATCTCGATCCCAGGAGGGCCGTCGGCTCCGGGCAAGCGCGCGCTGGGGACCACGACGACGACGGCGAGAACGACGGCGTTGCGCCCCAAAGGTCTCGACCCAATGCTTGGAGGGGGGGGGCGGTGCTTCGCCCGGGACACATCCAGGGTCCCGAGACTGGCCAGAGGCCGACGCTCCGCAGAAGCCTCGGCCAGCCTTCGGCCGACGACGTTGGCGTCGGCGTCGATCGCCGTGCGCGCGCGAGCGCGCGCGCGCGCCGAGGAGCTTCCTCCTCCTCCTCCTCCTGCCCCTCCTCCTCCTCCTGCCCCTCCTCCTCCTCATCCTTCATCTTCTCCTCTCTCTCTTCCACCCTCCTCCTCTGCCTCCTCCTCCTCCTTCATCTTCTCCTCCCCCTCCTCCTTCCTCCTCCTCTCCCTCCTCTTCGGGAGCGC